CATGGAAGGGCTCAACCTCAGCAGGGGCACTCACAGGGGTCCCCTGCCCACCCAGAGGGACCCTGGTGTCCGGGCACCATGGGCATCGTCACCTCCACCCCTCAGCTGTAGCAGGACTGATTTTCGAAAGAAAAGACGGTAACCTCAACTTTGCCTCCCCGGCCCCCAGGAGGGCCAAGAGCCGCATCACTTCGGAGCCCCCCATCAGCACCTTCCCATCCTCCAACCCCAGTGGGGACAGGCTGGGGGCTCCTCCTGCCCCCGGCCATCTCACACCCCCAGGCTCCTCTCCTCTAGCTTGTGGAGCAGGTGGGATGGGGGTCACCTCGCAAAGAGAGTCCTGAGACGTGGCTGAAGGGGAACGATGGGATGAGGGTGCCCACGGGAGCGGGTTAAGGACAAGTATTGGCATTGGCATCCTTGGTGCATAAGCCAGTGACCTTTGTGGGGGGCCGGTCCCCCCCAGGTTTGCTGGCCTGTGCCCCTGCCATGCCATGGGGTGTCCCCATGCCATGCCATGGACTGTCCCCATTAACGCACTGGCGGTGATGGTGCCCCCCTGCTCCCTGTCCCTCCACTCTCCTGGGCAGCTCGTGGGCACTTGGGCCAGGCCTATGAGGTTGCTTTTCCCTGGGAGATGGAGCTGGGTGGCAGGGCTGACAGGGGACCTGGTACCCCCTGCTCACCAGCCCTTGGGGCATTGCTAATTAAACCACACTGTCTTCCGCCCCGCTGGGAGCTTGGGGCTCGGGGCTGTGCCCTCTCTCTGGAACAAGTGCCAAAAGTGTCACCCCTCCCCTGTCCCATCTGTCCTGCCCTTTCCATCACACTTTGTAGCAGGGGGTGGATGAGGGTGCGGGAGCTGCCCCCCACCCCTCTGTCCCCATCCCTCCGGCCAGCACTGGGCTGAAAGCAGAAGTGGGTTTTGCTCAACGGGACAGGCACACAGGGACACCCATGGGGTAGGGATGCTGCCACAGACCTTGGAGACCTGATGGAGCCATTGGCCAAGCTCCACCCTGGAGAGCATCAGGACAGCCAGAAGCCACTTTGAGGAGCATCAGACCCAGCATCCCGATCTAGCGAGCTCTGGAGCTGTTTGGGCCAGCTGGGGGGGCAGGTCTGAGCCCCCCTTTTCCCTACCTGGTTTTGTCACGCAGATGTGATAGCAAAGGCCACCTCGTCCTCCCAAGTTTCTGAGCTACCTTAGGACAGAGAAGTTCATACAGTGAAAGCAACGTCCTGCAGTGGTGTGTGCAGGAAGCAGGTCCCCACTGCCCAGGGAGCAGGTCCCCACCACCCGTCCGCATGGAGGAGCACACGCTGTGCGCATGGATATGGCTCCTAAAGGGGAATAAAGCCCTTTTTGGGGCTGGGGGGTGTTTTCTCTGCTTGGCTCACAGCTGGGGCCCTGGTAGCTGCTCACTCTATGGTCTCAGTGTGGGTCCTGCCAGAGGGGAGATGGTGTCAGTGACCCCACTCCTCTCTCCAGGCTGGCACCCTGTGGTGTCTTCCATAGGCTCAATAGCTCCCAAATTTCTCCCTGGAAACCCAGGGCTGGGTGCTTGTTTGGGGGTGATGCCTCCAAACTGCTGTCCCATGGGATGGGAGCTGCTAACAGCAGGGAGGGCTGGAGCAGCAGGGACAACCCTTGCACCCCATTTGGGTACATGCCACGTCCCTCCGTGGGGATGTGCTACCCAGTGCTGTGGTGGGACCCCCCAAGTTTGGGTGTCCCAGCCCCGAGGAGCCAGCAGCACCACACCGGGCACAGGGAGAGCTTTGGGGGTTCACAGTCATGCTGAGCTGAGAAAACCAGGGGGGCTGCGGGAGGCCAGCTGTTCCCTAACTCTCCAGCATGGATAGGGGAGGGAAAATCAGGCTGATGCTCCAAGAGTGTCTACCAAAGGCCAACCTCCCTCGCAGTTTCAAAGGGGACCACAGTGTAGGGCTGCAATGGTGCTTGTGGCTGCCAGCAGGTCAGGGCAGAACAGGCAGGTCCTTGCTCAGGAGGGTCCTGGGAGGTGACTGGGAGGGTTTTCCAGCTGTTCTGAGCTGTGTGTCTTCAAGGCTGCAGGAGCAGCCAGCCGAGCTCATGGGGTGGCTGCAGACCAGGGTGGCTGCGAGTGGGTGCCTGCCGCTTACTTGGAGGGGCCAGGGCTGCCAGCGAGCACAAGGCAACAGAGAGGAGCTGGGAAGATGCTGCCATGGTGTGAGCAAAGAAACGAGCATCCTCCACCGTGGCACAGGAGAGATGGGATTTTGGTGTGGGTGACACCAGCACCATCCTTGGCCGCCCACAAGGGACAAGGGGCGGGCAGGAGCTTCCAATGGCGGCAGCGTGGGGTGAAAGGCAACAGCCCCTTCTCTCATGGGGCAGCTCCTTGTTCCAGCGGTCCACCCGTCAGGGATTTAAGGAAAGAAACCAGATTGCTGCTTACGACTTTGCTTTGAGCATGTTTCGGAATTTAAGAGTATGTTTAATAAAGGGTATCTTATGTCAACAATGCACCCAGAGTCATTTTGTGGTTCCAAGATGAGGGCAGTCGAGATCCTGGGGGCTCGGTGGGTGTAAACCCTTTTTGGCTGGGAGCGTCCTCCTACCCACCAGCCAGGCACCTCCCCAAAACCAGCTCAGCTGCTTCTGATCTTCTAAAACACTTCTTAAAGTCCCTTCTAACATACATTATCCGACCACCCTAAATCCTGCCTCCTCTGAGCCCTGCTGGGATGGAGAAGGTGCAAAAGCAACCAAAACCTCTGCAGGAAGAACCTGGTCCGGGGTAGTGGCATACTCCCTGGCATGATGGCACAGGGTCAGCAGCCCCTGGCACTCCTAGGACAGATGAGGACACCCAGAGGGGACCTTTCCTGGAGGAGAAGGGGGAGAAGAGGAGCACCGAGGAGCTGGGTGCTCATGCAGGAGAAATCCCTCCAGAAAACTTGTGCTGGGAGCTGAGACCTTAAAGGTGAGGAGGGCTGTAAGGGGGCTGTTGTAATTTGATTTTAATGGAGGGGGTTGGGGCATGGTGGGGGCAGCACCTGGCAGCAGTGGAGGGAGGGCTCACAGAGGGACAGATCCTGCAAAAGCAGAGGATGGGGTTGGGAGAATCGAGGCCTGAAGTGCTTTGCCCCAGGCTGTTCAGGAAAGGCCAGGGCTGTGCTGGACACCAGCCCTTGAGCTCTTGCTGCCTTTGTGTGCATTTTTCCAGGGCCAGGTCCCACTCCCGAGGGAGCTGACCTGTTGGAAGGACAGAAACCTGAGGTTTGGGGTGATTTGCTGGGTTATCAGACTCCTGAAAAGCAAAACAGAAATTTCCGCTCCCCTGGGAGTTGCCTCCTTCCTTCTCCACACCCAGTCCCAGCACTGGCCACCTCCTGGCCTGCAGCCACTGGCGATGGGCACGAGCAAAGGGGCACCTGCCCAGGCACTGGGGAGAGGGCTTGAACCTCCAGCCTGTCCTGCTCAAATCCTGGGGATCCTGGCAGGAAAATTCCTTCTTGTCCACACCACTTCAGGCAGCAGCGACCCTCGAGAGTGGGTCCGGCTGCTCACCTGCCCTTTGCTCTCCAATGTCCTTCCTCCACGGGGCAGCAGGAAGGAGACATGCCCGGTGTTTAAACCTTCCTGAGACACCCCGAAACCCCCCACTCCCCCAAAGGGCGAGCCTCGTGTTGCAGGGTGAAAGCAAACAGGCTTCCCTTGGGTGTCACGGCTGCTCTCAGCCTCCTTGGATGGGGACAGGGAGTCCCTCACTGGTCCCTGTTAAAGCCCTTAGGCTGGCAGTGGTGGGGGTCAGGGATTTCTTAGAGGGGCATGGAGCTGTCACCCTTTTAATGACATAAAGTTAGACCCCACTCTTTAATTTGGGGGTCTACCAGCCCCTCTTCCCCCTTCGGCTTTGTCCTAATCTCTTTGTGCCCCTCAGGGGTCAGAAATGAAGCAGCGGGGGGCACAGGCAGGAGGAAAGAGCTGGGGGTTGTCCCTGTGCCAACCCCACTGGGTGCCAGGACACAGGTTTGGGGTTTGCTGGTGCTGCTGGTGCTGGATTTGGCCCCGGGCGTGGGGTACGGTGGGGTCCCCCAGCATCCCTGGGGATCAACACCTTCAAGGACTCCCCCCACCCCATCCCCGTCCCGAGCTCTGTCCCCAAAGGGCCAAGTCTCAGCCAAAAGTGGCCGGTACGCTCCGGCTCCCCATGGCAACGCGAGGACCAATGGCAGGGCCGGAAGCTGTTTACGGGGCGGAGCGTCG